CAGAGGATCATCACATAGCCGTATTCATAGCTTACCCGAGGCCTCTCTCCCTGGTACTTAATATGAACATCTTTCTGGTACATCCCATCTCTTTCCCTTGACGAGGTCTGATAAAATGGTTATAGGAGAGGATTGCTGAGAATATTATTTTCCATCAGGCCTCGTAACTATAACCAGTCTTGGTCTTGGTCTCGCCTTAGTGTGTCTTGGTCTTGGACTTGGTCTTGGTCTTGGTCTTTGTACCCTCAAGTCTCGGCAATGTCTTGGTCTTGATACTTTCCGGTCTCGGCAATGTCTTGGTCTCGGTTTAGGCGGTCTTGACTACAACATTACTGTGTACTATAAAATGCAAATGGAATACTGTAACATGAAGCATTGCAGTAAGTATACAAAATTACAGTACAGTGCACATTATTGGATTACATACCTGTTGTCTCTATGAAACGTATCAATGACTGAAGACACGGTTGTTCTCCCAACATGCCACTTGACTGCACTCTTCGACCAGCCACACCCATTGTAAGATCATGACTGAGGACATGGTCCACAATTGTGGCCCTTATTTCATCAGGAACGTGCCTCTGTTCTTGGCCTCTTCTACCTCTTCCTCTGTTTTGTCTCCATACCCTTCCACCATGCAGCCTTACTCCTCTTCTTCTGACCAGCTGTTGATCCTTTCCTTGTTGTTCTTCCACTGTCAAATTGTAACACTGTGTTGTGCTCTGTAAATATATGCTTGCCAACTGAAGGTTGATGAGATGCACCTCTGAGCTATTTTAGAGAACTGGTTGATCACTGGTCGATGTAATGCTTCAAACTTTCTCCTCTATTGGTGAAAGTCAAGATTCAACTGAGAGCAATTCATAAATTCAGGACACATTTGTATATATAAAAAAACTAATAGAAATGTATAGAGAATATGTTTGCGAGATTATGACAACTAGTTCAACAATTTTTCATATAATGACTTATGCAATGATCTGATGCCTATATGTTTTGGGCGGTAAGACTATTCAACAGAGTACCAGTATAATACATGTTGACAAACATCATAAATATTTGGTAATGCAGAAATCAGCAGATGATTGTACATAATCATTTGCATGATTGTGCAAAGGATTTGCAATTTGACCAAAAGAATGAGACTTTGCATTTATGACGTGCACAAGTGACTTGATGATGTGGAGGTTGTACAAGTAGTTATGAGAATTTCTGAAAAATGAACTAAGGCAACTAAGAAAAACTGTAACTTCCACAAAACAATAAAATCTGACTAGACAAAAAGCTCATTCGGAGGGTTTGAAATGTTACAGTGAGAGACAATCATAAAAACACCAGGTTTCTAGACAACTTAGAAACAAAATTACTTCCAGGCAGGAAAAAGAAGACAATGTTGTATTTGGGAAGCATTTACCCATAAACTAGGGGTGGGGAATCTGTTCCCTGGAGGGCCAGTGTGGGGGTGGGTTTTTGGAATGACCCACACATACACCGGCCCTCCATGGAACCGATTCCCCTCTACTGATGTCAGCAAAACCATGGTCATTCTGAATCATTACATTTGACATTTTCATCATTTCATCTTTTGTAATTAACTTTGCATTCAGAATGCCAATTAGTTATTTTGCTTGCATTATTTCTTGGCTTTATTTCTCAACAACAGTTGCACCCAATTAAAAGTCAAAGCCATTACAACCTCTTATATAACCGACACAAGTAAACACTTAAACATTCACAGGATGGCCATTTACAAGGTGCAGCTATGTATGTTATTAGGGTGACCAGATAATCCATGTCAGGGAGGACACTCTGAGCTAGGACAGGAATTGTAAATTACCATTTCAATTAAACGGACCTGGATTTCACTTGAGCACTGAGTTCTTGCTGTGTGCTGATTGGTCAGTCTCCTATAATCATGCATGTGTCACTAATGTTAATGTGAAACAGCTGGATGAGTCTTTCAGTCAAGGAAATAAACCAGTCAAAGCACAAGAAGAGCTGAACTAATTAGCCGAGCACAGGAGCCTTTCAATTTGAAAGTAGTTTGTAAAACCTGAAGTAGCTCAAAGTGTCCTCCCTGACATGGATTATCTGGTCACCCTAATGTATGTGATTATAAGAGTAGTATTATCAATCCAGTGCTTGAAGTGGGAGAAAAACAGGTGCAGGTGCTCACTTTGTTATTCAGCACCAGGTGCACATACTCCCCTTGTTAGTCAGCACCAGGTGCCAGTACTCCACTTGTTATTCAGTACCAGTACACTGAAAGTATTATCAATATTCTATAATTAAACAATACAGGATCTGTATTATCAATATTATTCTTGTAATTTAATTGATATAATTTGTAAATGGGGCAGGATGGTGGTGCAGTGGTTAGCTTTGTTGCCTCACACCTCTCCTCATGTCGTCGTGGGGTTTCCTCCGGGTGCTCCGGTTTCCCCCCACAGTCAAAAGACATGCTGAGGCTAATTGGAGTTACTAAATTGCCCATAGGTGTGCATGTGTGAGTGAATGGTGTGTGATTGTGCCCTGCGATGGGCTGGCTCCCCGTCCCGGGTTGTTTCCCGCCTCGTGCCCGTAGTTTCCGGGATGGACTCCAGACCCCCCGCGACCCAGAAGGATAAGGAAAATGGATGGAATTTGTAAAGATTTCGAATACCCTGGGTCGTACATGTTGAGAGCGCTTTAATTTTTTATTCTCGCTTAATTAACCAACCTTGCGAGATCATGAATTCAGCTACACTCGCTGTCATGCCTTTCAGATGCTGCGAATGACGGCTTGGCGCCTCGGCGGCCTTTTGTCAAGACGTGCGACGGTGGCGGCGACCGGTGGTAGTGTGAGGATGGCATCCCAGGGGCATCGTAAGCACGTGTTTTGTTATATGTATACGTACTGAGTTGCCATTGAAAAATAAACGGTATTACAGATACAAAGCACCGAGTGGAGTTGGTAAGTGCGCGTGGTTTTCCACCAAACAAATGAACGGATTAGCATGACGTACACTTTGCCAACAGAGGGCGCTGTCGGCCAAGGAACTGTATTGAAGATCCCTAATGTTGAAATGCAAGCTGTTTAGAAATAAAAAGGATCTGACAAACTATGAAAAGACAGCGAGGAATGTAGAAGTTTTTGTGGTTTGCCCACGTTGCGCGTGTTAAACTACCAACTACGGTCTTGCACACATAAACAATTTAATTGGAAAAGGCAACGCGGCTGACTCAATTTCATATCTTTTAAATATATTTTAATTTTTAATAGCATATTTGAGTGTTCACTTTTAGCCTTGGTTTGCCTTTCATGTTTGTGTCCTTGTGCCGTATAGATGTCTCCACACAAGCAGACATGTCGCTGCCTATGTACTGCGATCGCATGGACACCCCACTGCCAGAAAGACCGTATCAGGACACCCTCAGCGCAGTGGAGAAGAGCCTGAAACAAAAGGAGAAGGGGCCTTGGACCCAGCTCTCCAAGGAAGAAAAACTTGCCCGTAACATCAGCTTCCATATTCGATTCTTCCTTTCGTACCTCTGTACCTAGCTACAGGCAGTCAGCAAAACCGATTGCTTATTTTAAAAGTTGACTTCCTCCGTTTTTTTTCGTTTCTTTAACATTCCCTCCTTCCTTCTGTCTCTTCGTTCCTTCTTGTGTCACATGCTCACACAGTCTACAGGCTGATGTTCAGAAAGACCTACGCAGAGATGAAGGTGCCGTCTAATGAATGGAAGACTGTCTTTGGTGGAATCTTATTTTTTATCGGCATTACGGGCCTGGTGGTCCTCTGGCAGCGATATAACGGTGGGTAGCCGCAGAGCTGGTGTAGTTCACATCATGGCTAGTCAAAAAGCCAATCAGTGAAATCTCCATGCTCTTCATACATTTCAATACCATAAAAGCATTACAGTAAATTTATTTCAATAGTATCTCAGGGCTGTAATAAGTAAACAGTTCTACACATGATAATTTACTACAATGTTTATGGTACCCTGTGAATGATTAAGATTGGTGTCTTTGTGTTGTAGTGTTCCCTCCACGGCCTCACACGCTGGAAGATGAGTGGAAGGCCCAGCAGTTAAAGCGGATGATTGACATGAGGATCAACCCCATAGAAGGCTTATCCGCCAAATGGGACTACGACAAGGGCCAGTGGAAGTAGGGTTCGCGGTTTGGGGGGCGTTCTCTGAATTCTGGCTATGGCAGGATTAATTCTGCATGGAGTGTAATTAGTCCATCCTCCTCTCTGTCATGAATGTAACTTGTCTGTCAATTAGCACACACCTGACACACTTGATCGCTCCTCATGAATGACATGACTCCTTTTCCACACTGTCAATTTGCCATTATAGCATAAGCACATTTTCATTAACCTAAAATCAATCATACTTCCTGTGATTCTCTATCTCCCAGCTGTTAATTCATATTTACTTTACATTTAACACAAAACACTGAATTCTCCTTATATGGGTATCATTCTGTATTTCACTGTAATCTATTAAACTTGAAGGCAATCTAAAGGAATGCATCTTCATATCAGTCAAAGATCAGGCATTATATATATATACATAGATATTATATAATGTTTTACTACATTGGTAAGTAACATAAGTAAGGATGGAAAGTAAAGATGAAGTACTGAAACATTTGTTTTTTTGTTGGTTTTTTTTCCAAATTCAAAAAAGGTTTTGGGTCAGTGATCATGTTCTATCAACGCCTTTCATTAATTTAATAGCTTTTAATTTAAAAGTCATTTTATGTGTTTAATTCACAAATTCATTTTACGGTATTGCACTTCTATTAGCGGTGCACATAAGCAGCCAGGGGCATAAAATATAATTGGTTTGGAATTAATTGATGCCGTTTGACAAGTAAAGACAGAGGAACTCCTTTTGTGAAGGACGGCATCTCGAACCGTGGCAGTTAGTAAGGTTCCGATGCCTCCCCAGTGAAGAATGAACCAACCTTCTTTCAGCAGTCATTCATTTAAGGACATTTTACTGAAATTCTTGGTAACTTTTACTTTTGAAAATGTAACTCCACCTTGAAATGTCAGACCTAATCTGATTTCATGTAACAATGTTATACACCTACACTTCATATTTAGCTGCTTATAATTAAGTAGGTCAAATTATGATGTAATAAATTGATTAAAATTAAATCTGCATTGGAAGTAGCATTTGTGAGACTCATGCCCTTCAATTACATAATTACATGTCATAATTCAAAAACGTTTTTGTAGAGGAAATAGCGTAAGAAGTAAACTGTTATAAAAATCACAGTCTAAATAGCTTATATAAGTTATATAAATAACAATAAAATTTATTTCAATCTACAAATACATAAACATTTCCTATGAGTCGTTTATTTACATGGTCCTTGCATTGCAATATCTGCACAAACAACAGGCAGGTACCCATGGCTGCTTGCACCCTCACAGCAGACTTGAATGACAAGACCATCTGTATTTAGTGACAGTGTGTCACAAAATACACTTCATATTTTCAGAATATATGTGAAGTATGATGTGAAGTGATGTGATGAGATGGCCAGAAAGATGCTCAATAAAGCAAATTATAGCATTTGTCCATCCATGCATTTTCTAAGCCCAGGTATTGGATTGAATGTCTCAAATGCCTCATGCATATGCCAGGAACCAGAAAGGAAAAGGTTTGTGTCTTTGGTCCATAGGAGGATGCTGAGGGAATTCCAGGAACACATGTTGCACACTCACACTAATTTCCTGGATGGACTGAAATTCCTTTTTATGTCTTTTTCTTTAGCTTGACATTTCCTAAAGACATTTTAACAAAATCCCAAAGTTAAAAATATCCCACCCATTCATTTTCATTTATAAAATATCCCATCATTACTGTGACCCCCTGCTAATAAGCAGTTATGGAAGATAGATGGGCCTGTCCAGTCAAGGTTGTAGCAATGTCAAGGTTTATCTCAGCCAGTGCAGGGGCTACATTGTGGACACACAGTAAAGTAACATAAGTAAGGATGAAAAGTATTGCCCATAGGTGTGCATGTGTGAGTGAATGGTGTGTGAGTGTGCCCTGCGATGGGCTGGCTCCCCGTCCCGGGTTGTATCACCAACAAGAACAGCATGTCTTGATTGTTGGAGGAACTCTGAAAAAATTAACACATGAAAAAAGGAAGAACACGGGTGTCTGGGGATGGTTTTGTACCTATAAAAATAGAGTGAGAATGTGGCTCTTTGGAGCCGGTCCAGTCAAAGAGGCAGAGGAGCCACATCTGACTCCAGGATAGAGAGAGCTGGGCTTCTCTCCCTGCGCAACGTAGCTGAAAGTGAGCAGCAAGAGCCCTCCCTACAGAAGGGTCACCTGGCCACCTGTCTCTCATTTCCCTGCTGTGTTTACAGATGCTCTCATGCTGCCATTTCAACCAAAGCAGTCAGCAAGCAGGAAAAAGAAGGTAACTCTTTCTGGATGACAGAGCTTAATAAAATGTCCTGTAGAATAGAATTATTATTATTATTATTATTATTACTTTTATTTTCATTACTTTCATTTGTTAATGGAGAAGAGCTTGAAATGATCCATTCTGGTATTGGACAGCCATGCTGGGAGGCATGCCACAACTGACACAGACTCACCATGACCCACCCCTCAAAGAAAGAAAGAAACACTTTTTGAAGAATGAGACATTTTCGAAACAATGGTAATGAGGGCAATTCTCCTACAGAACTCCTGAATCGTTCAATTATGAGGATGCTGTTCGCCTGTGATCACGTGTACCGAGGTGTGCTACATTATTTCTGCTTAATTTTATTGTGATAATATACCTTCACATTCAGCTTTGCATCTGTCGCTGGGAGTATCTGGTTTATTATGTGTCATTAAGTATTGAAAGAAGCTTCTTTCACCACTATTGAAGAGCCATAATTATTTATGGCGTAATATTGCAACTACTCCTTTTAGAACCACAGCAGTGTAACTATTCAGGTAAACATGTAAGCATGTAAGGTAAGACTATAATTTATTCCAACTTATCCGGACATCCTATATCGATTCAGAGGCCGTGTAACGTATGATCCTGTCAAGTGACAGCAGGAAGTGGAACAATAAAAGTAGTATTTGTGAGAGCAAAGCCCTAAACCTCATGAAATATTCATTTCAATTCAGATATTCTAATTTGGCTTTGTGAAGTGAAGGCTACAAGGCAAAACTTGAATATGTTAAAGTTTTCAATTAATGGACACCTTCACCCATGAGGACCCAATCATGCAAATTTATTTTTATATTCATTTTATGCACTTTGGTCTGATTAGGCTCACTGAGTTCCTCTCTCAGAAACTGGTCTGTATTTACTGCAGCCGTTTAATGCTTTGTATGAGAATAGCTGTGTTTCTTACTTCTGCACCACCTGAGAGAGTAGTTTGGGTGTTTGGACATAGAGTGCATGCTACAATTTTTAGGATATCCATACACTTAGACAGCTGAAATTTAGGTATGAAATTCATGATTGGAGTAGTTTATTTTACATATGAGCAAAATAAGTGGAAACTTCCTAAAAATTACATGTAGCTGGTATGGTGACCAAACTTGCACACAATATTCTGAAAGGGTTAAGTGTCTAGAAAGGACTGCTAGCTAAAAAGCAATCAAACATGTCGACTGTTTATTGTAGGCGTTGTCAGTTCCCTGATTATAATGAATGTGCAGGGGTGTTCCATTTGATGAGTGTCCCTCTCCCTCTTTCACAGAAAAGCCAATTGTATGAAATTATCTCATACATCAGTGCAACATTTCTGGAGCAAAAGGAAAATGGTTATGCAGGAACAGAGAGAAAATGTGCGTAACTAATGCAGAAACCTTGGTGTGGGTAGTAGAAACAGGTATATATACTAGAAGATTCATGGTAACAACAAGCTAATTGCTTGGAGTTTTAATGTGAACATTTCTGGGCTTAATTTAATTGTGGCAGCTCTCATAAGATCATAAGAAACTTACAAATGAGAAGAGGCTATTCGGCCCATCGAGCTCATTTGGGGGGAACTAATAGCTCAGAGTTGTTAAATCTAGCTCTGATTAAAAGGAACCCAGGGTTTTAGCTTGCACTACACTAGTAGGAAGACTATTCCATACTCTAACTACACGCTGTGTAAAGAAGTGTTTTCTCAAATTCAGTTTAGAATGTTCTCCTGCTAATTTCCACCTATGGTCACAAGTTCTAGTATTTAAACTAATACTAAAGAATAACTTTAGTCTGTACATCCTTGCCATTGTACTATATTTAAGATTGTATATTTAGATTGTATATTTAGATTATATACTTGATTTGATAGATTGTATTTAAATATTGTAATTTTCTTTTTTCTCCTACTTTACTTCTTACCTTTTTTCTTCTATTTTTGCACAGCCAAATAAGGGTGACTCAGAGATACATTTCACTGCATGTTGTACTGTATGTGACGAATAAATCTCTTGAATCTAAAGTAGCCATTTGGCTGAACAGCATCGAGACCTGTTAGAATCTTATATACCTGGATCATGTCCCCCCTTAATCTCCTTTGCGCGAGGCTGAACAGATTCAGGTCAGCTAACCTCTCCTCATAAGACATTCCTCTAGGACCAGAAATCATTCTCGTAGCCCTACGTTGAACCTTTTCCAAGGCAGCAATGTCCTTTTTAAGGTATGGTGACCAAACTTGCACACAATATTCTAGGTGGGGTCTTACCAAGGAATTGTATAATCGTAGTATCACCTCCCTTGACTTAAACTCCACACACCTAGAGATGTAACCCAACATCCTATTGGCCTAACAGTAATGAACTATCTTACATTTGTGTGCAGTATGTGCAGCTCTCCTGAACACCTTTAATAAAAGGCCATACAGTGTCTGCCAGCTTCTGGCACTGTCACAATTATTTCATTAATTATGACTTAAAAATATAAACATGTAACATTTATGAATTTATCAGCCTGTGGAATTAGCTGCTATCTGATGCTCTTGTGTTTTTACCTCCAAATGACAGAGTATTGTATGGGGAAGACAGTTTGCAATGGACTGAAGTGAAGGGCAGGTAAGACAGCTACAACTTTATAATGTACAGCTTGTCAGGAATGCACTTCCCTAAAGAATGAATAATTCCAAGCTTTGTTACTTTTGATGAATGTACATCTATATACAATTCAATCCTAATATTGCTGTGCTTTATTTAAATACTAAATATGGCCAAAAGTAAGTGGACATCAGCTTGTCCAACATGAATTCAGTCAGCCTATTGTTGCTATAATAGCCTCTCTTCTGGGAAGCCTTTCCATTAGATGTTGGAACAGTGCTGGTGGGATTTACTGCCATTCAGGTTGGGTTTTGATATTGGACTATCAGGTCCCTGTCTGTGAGCATGTGTGGCCGATCACTTCGCAACTGAACTAGGTCCCAGACGTGTCAGCATCACTTCCCTTGCAGGTGACCAGGACAGCTCTAGTAAGGTGGAAACATGCCGAACAGACCTGTTGGAAAGATGGTGTGAAGTGGAAGGTCACTAACCACTTCTGCACAACTACCCATTGTGCTGCTATTGTTTGTTGGAGATCATTGTGTGACAGTGTGCTTAACTGTACATCTATATCAGCAAAACGTGTCACTTAAGTGTATGTCTTTAGGGATAGCTATGACTACCCGGCAAAGACACCTTCAGATATTTCATTACAAACTCAGCATACATATGGAATGGAGCATAAATGAGACGTTCAGTTGGATTGAAAGCCAAGACAGGGGAAGTTCCACATTTACTGGATACTCCGAGACAGGTAGTCAGTTTGACTCTCCCTGCCGGCCCCTGGAGGATGGGCTCCCCCTCATGAGTCTGGTCCCTCCCAAGGTTTCTTCCTTCTAGGGAGTTTTTCCTTGCCACTGTCGCCTATGGCTTACTCACTGGGGGCTTTGGGTGAGGATGCTGTAAAGCGCTTTGAGACAATGTAATGTTGTGATAATGCGCTATACAAAAATAAATTTGTTGTTGTTGTTGTGTGCTGTTGTCCAAATTGCTCATTTGTGCTGTTTAAAACTGACAGATCATTTCACAAACCCAGGGTTTCCCCAGTAAAAGAAGGATCCTGCAAGACAGGTGTCAGTTCTCAGACCAGCACCACTATCACCAGCAGACTATCGATGGTCAGCCCAGAAGCTGTTCCCAGCCAAGGATCTATTGCCTCACTGTAGGCATGACCTGGAAGGATCTTCATTCTCTATGCACAGAATCCGCAACAAGCTATCAAATGTCAGATCTGGACTTGCGTTGGTCTCTCTCCCTTTTATTTATTGTAGAACAGCCTCTCTACTCTCACGGCACAGCCTAGCAGAATCTGGTAGTTAATTACATAACTTAAAAACTGGCCACTCATTGCTCACCTCCTTGTCGCTCAGTCCCTTTTACAACGCTCACAGAACAATGCTTGCTTAATTCTGCAAAAATGTTGCAAATTATATTGGTTTCATAAAGTTCATCGACAAGCAATATTTAACATATCTAATGTCCACACAGACATTTCCTTTTTAAGTGTCATATTTTTTTGACTGACTCATTCAGTTCTGTTCTTACCAATTTGCTATTAATTGCAACCGTAGTCAATGGCTCCCAAAGGGATACTAAACATAAATGTTTAGTATTTTATGTTATTTCAAATTACTAATTAAAAAGCACCCAATCAGACTGCTTGTCAATGAACTTTTTAACTCTTTTTAACAGCTTTTAGAACTATAATTTTTAAATTAATCTGAATAATAATTTGAAATGTTTTACTTAAAACAATGGTTTCTTTCTTCGATATACAGATGGTCCTCTACTTACAAACTTTCAGACATATGAACGAATAGGACTATAAGTCCAAATTGTGTTCGCTAGGCTCTCGTTTCCTGTCTGTAAGATAGTTTTTTTTTCTGCACACCAATTCCACCTAGTACAACTTCTGGCCGCTACTCCTGCCACGCAGCCTGCGTACACCCAGCATCCCGTTCGGAATGTAACTCATTCGTGAGTAGAGGAGCGTCTGTATATTATTGTAAACAAATGAATAAAGAAATGATTTTTGTTATAAAACCAGTAATTTCGCAATATTCTTACTGAATTAAGCAAGTGTTCCAAGACTTTCTGTGACCACTGTATGCTCTAAAAATCTACCCCCCAAAACACACATTTTCCTAATTTTGAAATACACCCATCTTGTTTTATTTACAGATGAAGACAAACCCTCCAAAACCCAACCTGTTCAAAAACCATGGTGCTGAATATATTGTTTTCCTCAGATTTATTCACCTGCTACACTCAACTTCTATCCAAATAAAAAATCTTTATTTCACTCCACTAGAAGGTCCTGCCAAGAATAAAAACAAGTTAGTCACACTGAAAGAGCTATGAAACCAAATCTCCAACACCACCAACTTTTATTTTTTCGTTTTGGTTAGTTTTCCAGTCTTTGAATATGGCAAAACATATTGAACTTTAAATGTCAGATGGCCAACATCAACTGAGCAAAGGGGAAAGGAAGGAAGAAATCATTTGGTCCAAATTTTTTTTTTCCTTTTAATTTGATCGCATTGATGTATATATGAATTACATGGACTGTAGTTATAGGAAACCTCCAACTCATCCGAAGATGCTGATGGACGACTGCTCAGATGAGTTCAACTTGTGCATTCTGATCATTGAGTTAGTCCTCAGTGTACGAGGCTGCAGGAGAAATACGTAAACAGGACAATACTTGGCAAGTTCCTTCACGTTTGCTGGGGTGTCTGGGTGGTGGTGCTGACTGTCTCTCACAGGCGCTTCTGTGCAATGAGAGAGCCCACAACAACTCCAGTGATGAGCGTCATCCCAGCTAACAGCCACTTTTTGAAGTTCTCTTGGGACCTCCTGCTCTCAGCTGCTGCATCCTTCCCAAAGATTTCAGCAAAACGGTCCTAAAAACAATAAAAAAAAGGAGGGGGGGGGTAGACAGGATGCTTACCAGCTGACCTTGCACTTTTATTCTTGGAGAAATACCCATTCGAGACCTGAATTTAACTCATTGAAGCCAGATTCTTGTAGGAATTGACTGAATCATACACTGACCAATATACAATACTTGTGGAAAGGATGTTTATGAGTTTTTAAATTTTTGCATTTTTGAGGTAGCTAGGACAAAATTGGGAATTGCGTTGTTTTTTCCATTTATATGCAATTCAATTTCTTTTTGTATAGCACCTTTCACAACAGAGCTGTCCCAAGGCGTTTTACATGGATGTGTTGAGATACATTACATTTATAGTATATTTATATTGTTCATAAGAGTTACTTAGTGTTAGCTATATTTATCTGGTAAACTAGGGCACTTGATCTGGGCTGGCCCTGTTCAAAATTCAGTTTTAGCCATCATAATCAGAGTTAAATAGAGATCACAGTAAAGCTCTGCTGATGCCGATTAGTATGGGTGAGTTAGAGGAGTCAGTCTTGCCAGAACTGCCAAAATGTCTCAAACAGCAAAATGTAAAACTATTCAGGAAGTCACAAGGAACTCTGAAACATCATGCAGGAATCAATTTGCCTCTTCTGCTTTATGAAAAGTCAGTGTCCATGACTCTACCATCAGAAAAACACATAAATTGGGTAATGTGGTTGAGTAACAGCTCACCAAGAACACAAACTACAGTCAAAATCCAGTATTGGTTCTGGAACAATGTTGTAGATGTTGAAGGTGGTGAAGTACACCTACTTTCAGTTCAATTAATTTATAAGTGAAGAACCACATTTACCAGCAATATCTGGAAGCAATAATTTTCTGTACCAAAAATGATCAAATTGACATCAATTTGGAAAAAATTTGCCCCCCTCTTCCTTATGACATTACTTCAGTTCACTGAGTCCCTTAAGGTCCCATCACAAATTTCAATGGGCCTGAGATCTGGACTTTTTCAAAATCTTAATTCTTTTTTTCAACCAATCAGAGGTAGATTTTCTGGTGTCCTTGGGATCACTGTCCTGTTGCATAACCTAATTTCAGCCAGACATTAGCTGCCGGACAGGTGGCTTAACATTTGCCTTTGGTAAAAAAAAAACTCAGTGACCGCATGGTGTTCCTTGTGCTTTGGCTGCCAAATAAGTCCAACTCAATACCTTTCCACCAGTGTGCATCATAGTTGATATGAGGTGCCTGTGTTATTACACTGCATCTGGATTTTGCCAAATATGCCAAGGTACATTATAACCAAACATATCTGCTTTTGTCTCATCTGCTCAAAGGACACTGCTCCTTTGAAATCAGAAATCATCTGATTTGTTCATATACAACACTGCATACCTACACTATGCTGCCATGTTCTTTTTGGAGAAGAGGGCCTTTCTGCTGGCTACCCTTTCAACAACACCATGCTGCTTCATTAATTTCTGATCATAAAGGCATGAACTTTAACATTTAAGATGAGGGTTTCTCAGTCACTCAGTCAGTGATCTGCAAGCGTCTTTAGTGGGCCGTGAAACTGGCAGGGAAATGTAGTTTGGTCCAAAATTGGGTGGACACGCAAGAATTTTCCCGATTGGGACACCCCCACCTGGCTGGTGAAATTTACCAAGGGGACACCCCTGGTCAAAATAATATACAAAGGGGGTATATTACCATATGTAATATATCTGCTAACAGAATGAAGAATAGCCAGGCCTTGTTGGGAAGGGAAACAAAATCCTGGGGAAGGCTGAGAACTGTCTTGAATGTTCTCCATTTGTAAATAACCCATCTCCCTTTAAAATGATGGATTTCAGGTTGTTTGGAAATGGCCCAAACAACCCTTCCGAAATTGATAAGCAGCAACAAATATTTCTCTGAGGTCATTGCTGATGTTTCCCCCTCTGGCATAGTGTTAACACAAACTTCAAAGTTTCAGACTAACAAATGGGCAAAAGTTCTGCTTATATAGAGGTGCTCACACTTCCTAATGATGAACTAATCAAGTGCAATGGAATACCATCACCTAGATGTTAAGCATGTTGTTTATTCCTATGGAAGCAGGGAGGGTGTACACTTGACTTCTGCATTTTTGGCTTCCTTTTGTTAAATAACTAACACACTGAAGTCTGTTATGTGTTGTTTGTTATCGCAGACTGATTTTTCAAGCTGAAAAGGATCAAACGATTGCTATTTATTTCATGATATGTAAAACTGTTGAATTGAAAGAGGGTGTACTGTTATTTTCACATCACTGTAAATGTGGAACTTCTTGGCCAACAAGGGAACACTTATGTATGGTAAAAAAAGAAAAATAACAAATGTTGCACTACACAGTAAGAGGATAGGCAAAAGGTCAGAAAGGATGGGGGCATTTTCATGGCTTAGGGACACTCTGCTGCTTGAGGAGCTAGAGGAGATGCCATCAATGGAAAAAAATGAATGCATACTGAATGATGGACCGTCGGTCTCTGAGCTGGAACTGAAGAAAAGCTGGGTCTTGCAGGGAGATGGCAACAACATTTAGACAGCACAATATCAAGTCTACATTACAATGGTTGGAAAATTAGTTCCAACTATTTTGCACTGAACTAACAGAGATTGAGACTCAAACATCATGGTTTATAGTGAGACTTGACACAAGCAGTTCCCAATAAAACCAGAGGTGGAAATTTCAGGTTCAGAAAGTAAAAATCCAGGCCAAAATTTTCTTTCAATCAACTAGACGAGTAGAAAGTGTCACAGTTACATAGTACTCAACTGGTTGGCTGAAACAAAATTTTGGCACCTCTGGGCAAAACCTTAAAAAGTAATGAGTTTATGCAGGTTGCCAAGTGAGCCAAAAAGTCTCCACTGCACTGTGTGAGATGAAACAATGACTTCAGGAAGAGGTGCGGCTGCAGTAATTGTATAGTTGTATATCCGGATACTGACTTTAATGGGGCAATTACCTTTTCACATAGGGACACTGTGGGTGGCAGAACTGTCTTTACTAAATAAATTACAATATTTGAGACAGGTATTTTTTTAAGCAATTCTATTAAAAGCGGTTAGTATACAACAGTGCTCACAAACAGCTTGCATCCCTTGGCAGAAGATTTGGCACATTCTCCATGCCATCGCATACGAGGGTCCGTCACAGTCCCCGCCAACGGAAGAAAGTGACATGCTGATCTTGGCAGCTGTCCCCATGCCCTGTCGTATACAGAAGGGCCCCGTAAGGCCGCGAAGTACGATGGCTTTGACTCATGCAAGCCGCCCCCGTGAGACGAGCGTGGTCGTTTCTCAGAAATCAGACGGAGGCGTTTGTGGAAGGCCGTTCCGAGAAGTGGGGTCTATGGCCACGTGGAAGCGGGGTGATAACGCGGAGAAGGGGCTTTATCGAGGCTGGAGTAAGTTTTTCTGAGATCGGCACGTCACGTCGGTCTTTGAAGAAAAGCGATCGAACTCATAACTCAAGTGTTTCTGGAATTTTCTGGTACTTCAAAAAGACATATTCAATTCTATTTATTTTTATATAGCGCCTTTCACCACAGAGTTGTCCCAAAGCACTTCACATGGTTGTGTTGTGATACACAAAACATCATTAGAGAGAGATACAGAACAAGAAAAGGAAGGAAAGAAATTAAATTAAAACATATGGCCTTCACATTAAAGTCAAGATCACGTCTGTCTACTAGTAGTCTACTTGTAAATGAGCCATCATAGTTTTGTCTTTGTCATGCGCATGTAGCTACAAGGTCATCTGATTGGTAGGTGTGGGTGCATATGAACAGAAATCATCACACAAAAGATCAGGAGTCCAGGTGGACTAAATAAAAGCGAGGGATGCAGTTTGCTGAGATACAGCCTGGCAAGCTATCATGTGCCCGACTGCAGACGTTGGCATCTGTTTGGAGCCCGTCCACCTGTAGTTTACAGCTGAGCCGGTGCCGCTCACCATGATACCTGATGGGGAAGCAGACGCGGTCAGGAGGAGTGAAATATCAGGCTGATTAAGCTAGCGGCTGAAAAACACAGGGCTTTCAGCAAAGAGGGAGACGCATGCAGCCACAGGCTGGGCTCCTCAGAGTGTGTCGTGGCCAGTGTTGGCAGCTTGTCTCCACTGCTCCTCCAGCATCCCCGGTTTTTCAAACAGAAACCACACAGCCCATCGGCATGATCAGCGCTACATCACGCTAATCATAGCACAGCTTCATATTCTTCCTTATTTTCCATGATTGTATTCAACCCACACCCCCCTTTTTGTCATGGTGGGAGGCCGTATACCGTTACTCTTGTTAATTTACAACCCCGGCAGGCTCACCTGCTTATCCGTCTGTTAGCGGGCTGAGCCGTCCCCCGCATCAGGTGAACGCCTGCCCAGACCTGCCTGCTCCGCCAAGCCCGGTCCCCGAGCCGCAAGCGCCAATGGGAGTGGCCTCATGGGGGCACGCCATGGGAGCATCTGTCTGCTGTCTGTGAGGGTGGCGGTGGCCATTCGGAGTGACCCCCCACAGAGCGGATTCACGAAACACATGCCTGGGCACATTGGCAAAAAATTAAACAAAGAAGCCCCTAGAGCTTTCAGGAGCATCGTTCATCAGCGAGTCAATCAAGCGAAAAACACAAACACAGCCCTAACCTTAAGTAACCAAACAAAATACAAAACTTTTCACATTCTGGGGTTGTTTTGGAACTTTTATAAAATTGAGCTTTGCCTTGTGAGGACGGAAAAAATGGTCCTCACATATTATTTAAACATGTCAATAATAACATTCTGAGGTTGTTTATCACATTTTTATCACATTTGGTTCCCACAACGTAATATACATATAATCCCCCCCCCGGATTGTAATTATATATTTGTGGGGACTCTCCTTTCATTTATTTGGGGGGAAACTGTAATCCCAGCATGACGACCTTAACCCCTACCCAGCCCGAACCTTAACCATAAGTAACAAAACAAAATAAGACTTTTGGCATTTTTATTATTTTGATTGC